CGATCTCGGCTCACCACAACCTCCGCCTCCTGGGTTCAGGCAATTCTCCTGCCTCAGCCTCCTGAGTAGCTGGGATTACAGGCACGCGCCACCACGCCCAGCTAATTTTTTGTATTTTTAGTAGAGACGGGGTTTCACCATGTTGGCCAGGATGGTCTCCATCTCTTGACCTCGTGATCCACCCGCCTCGGCCTCCCAAAGTGCTGGGATTACAGGCTTGAGCCACCGCGCCCGGCCCTACTTTTTTTTTTGATATGGAGTTTTGCTCTTGTTGCCCAGGCTGGATGGAGCACAATGGCATGATAGCTCACCGCATCCTCCACCTCCCGGGTTCAAGTGATTCTCTTGCCTCAGCCTCCCAAGTAGTTGGGATTATAGGCATGTGCCACCACACTGAGCTAATTTTGTTTTGTTTTGCTTTGTTTTCTGAGACAGTTTCACTCTGTCACCAGGCTGGAGCGCAATCTTGGCTCACTGCAACCTCTGCCTCCTGAGTTCAAATGATTCTCGTGCCTCAACTTCCTGAGTAGCTGGGATTAGAGGCACACACCACCACACTCAGCTAATTTTTGTATTTTTAGTGGAGACAGATTTCACCATGTTGGCCAGGATGGTCTTGATCTTTTGACCTCAGGATCCGCCCACCTCAGCCTCCCAAAGTGCTGAGATTACAGGTGTGAGCCACTGCGTCCAGCCTAATTTTATGTTTTTAGTAGAGACGGGTTTTTCCATGTTGATCATGCTGGTCTCGAACTCCTGACCTCAGGCAATCCGCCTGCCTCGGCCTTCCAAAGTGCTGGGATTACAGGTGAGAGCCACCATGCCTGGCCAAGTCCACCTATTTCTAATGTGACTGGGTCAGTCATCAGCCCCTTGATATGGTTTAGCTGGGTCCCCACCCAATATTCTTTGAATTGTAGCTCCCATAATTCCCACATGTTGTGGGAGAGACCCAGTGGGAGATAACTGAATCATGGGGGTGTTTTTTTTCCCCCCATACTGTTCTCATAGTAGTAAGTCTCACGTGATTTGATAAGGGATTTCCCCTTTTGCTTGGTTTTCATTCTGTCTTGCTTGCCACTATGTAAGAAGTGCCTTTCACCTTCTGCTGTGATTCTGAGGCCTCCCCAGCCATATAGAACTGTGAGTCCATTAAACCTCTTTTTCTTTGTAAATTACTCAGTCTCAGGTATGTCTTTATCAGCACTGTGAAAACGGACTAATATGCCCTCTCAACATCATCTGTCACTCCAGTGCTACATCTTCAGGAGCCCAGGTTCCACAGAACATGAACTGTAGTGGCAGTCAGTGACCAGGAGATACCAGTGGCCTAAATATAGTTTTCTTTTCCTTCTTTCTTTCTTTTGAGATATTTTGCTGCCACCCAAGTTGGAGTGCCATGACACAATGATAGCTCACTGCAGCCTCAACTTCCCAGGCTCAAGCAGTCCTCCTACCTCGACCTCCCAGGTAGCTGGGACTACAGGTGGGCACCATCACACCTGGCTATTTCTGTACTTTTTGTAGAGACAGGGTCACTATGTTGCCTGGGCTGATCTCAGGCTCCTGGGCTCAAGCAATCCTTCCACTTTAGCATCCCAAGTGTTGAGATTACAGGGATGAGCCACTGTGCCCAGTCTAATTTTCACTTTTGAACCTTGTAAACTGTCAAACATATACACACAAGGCAAGCCTACAGCTTGGCTGATTTGATTGGTAAAGATACAAGGAGGCATTTTTAGATTTAGATGGTTTCTTACATAGACAGCGAAAAGAAGAGGAAGACCAAAGAGCCAGCTTCTCGGGTCCTTGTTTCATACACCAAAAAGGACAACACTGAAACCAAAAGGACCGCATGACCCCAGTGTGAGTTGTGGGATATTCTGTTGGTGGGGATCAAATCTAGACTGTAGCTAATTGGCTTGTTTGATTTTTAAATTTAACTTATTTATTTATATTTTTTACTATATCCAGTACTGTGTATAAGCAATAATTTTACTTATTTTTAAATGACTTTTTAAAGCTAAGTGGCTTAATATTCTGTGATTCTAATCTGAGAGGGGCGGAGCAGAACACCTCATGCCTTATTGGAACCTGGGAGTTGATGTGTTAAATGACAACCTCCTAGGGGAGATGGGGAGGGAAGTGGAAGATGGCCTCATAGCAGTTTCTTGCAGACCTCCTATCCTGTGTTCTAGGATTAAACAAGCCTTTCAGCCAAGACTTTGGTCTCCATGGATATATTCAAGGCTCTCAGGGAACACTGTTGATAGTGGTGTTGGAATTATACTGAAACTTTGTGTATTGTAGGATATTGTTGAGAACCAGGGTTTTCACTATGGCAAAAGGAAGATACAGGTAAGTAATGGAGGCATTTGAATAGGGAGGTAACAGTACAAATTACTGATATAAGGCTGGGCACAGTGGCTCATGCCTGTAATCCTGGTTCTTTGGGAAGCTAAGGCAGGAGGATTGCTTGAGTCCCTGAGTTCGAGACCAGCATGGGTTACATGGCAAAGCCCTGTTTCTAAAAACACAAAAACTAGCCAGGCATAGTGGTGCAGGCCTCAGGAAGCTGAGGCAGGAGGATCTCTTGAGCCTGGGAGGCAGAGGTTGCAGCGAGCTGAGATTGTGCCACTGCACACCAGCCTGGGCAACAGAGTAAGCCCATCTCAAAACAAACAAAAACTTGGGATGGTATGCAAGATTTGGCCTGGATTTTTCTGAGGATTTGAAGTACCTCTATATTTGAAGTAATAAAGAAGCAGCTGGACTGTTCTAGACAGAAGACTAGAGGGACCTAATGGCAGAATTCCATGTGACCTTTTGTTGGACTTTGGGATTGGGGGAGAATAGAGAAGGCATAATGCACATTTTTGAGAGAAGGGAAATGTGAATATAGCCTGTATGCCTATACTCAAGTCTAAAGACGCATAAACCTTATGTCTATACTAACCACCCAAATATTTCAACACCAAAAAGAATGATTTTCTTAATGTGGTAATGGTGTCATGGTTGGATAGAATGTTCCTCTTCTTGGGAGATACGTGCTGCAAATAAGGTCTGATGTCTAAACCTATTTTTGTTTTGGCAAAAAGGACATGTGTCTGTACAAAAGAAATGGAGCCAGTATGGCAAAATGTTTACAATGACTGGTAAGAGGTGCATAGGTACTTATTTTGTTTCTGAATTGGAAATTTCTCAAAATTAAAAAAATATATATCTACTGAGGAGCTTTTCATAACTGGTGGGGAATGAGTTCTGGGCTGATTTGCCCCTTTTCTTTTTAGATTCAAGAAATCCATGGTGAAAGGTTTGGATTCCTATGAAGAAAAGGAGGATGAGGTGATCAAGGAGGTAAGTAAGCAGTGGTCCCTCACCTTTTTCGCACCAGCGGCTGGTTTCTTGAACAGTTTTTCCACAGATGGACCCAGGCAGGGAATGGTTTCAGGATGAGACTGTTCCACCTCAGATCATCAGGCATTAGATTTTCTTTTTTTTTCTTGTTTTTTTGTTTTGTTTTGAGATGGAGTCTTGCTCTGTCACCAGGCTGGAGTGCAATGGCATGATCTTGGCTCACTGCAACCTCCAACTCCCTGGTTCAAGCAAATCTCCTGTCTCAGCCTCCTGAGTAGCTGGGATTACAGGTATGTGCCACCATACCCAACCAATTTCTGTATTTTTAGTAGAGATGGGGTTTCACCATCTTGGCCAGGATGGTTTCGATCTCCTGACCTCATGATCTGCCCGTCTCTGCCTCCGAAAGTGCTGGGATTACAGGCGTGAGCCACCGTGCCCAGCCTAGATTTTCATAAGGACCACAAAACCTAGATGCCTTGCCTGCCCAGTTCACAATAGTGTTTGCACTTCTATGAGAGTTTAATGCCACTGCTGATCTATCTGGAACTCAGGTGGCAGTCCTGTTGCAGCCTGCTTCCTAACAGGCCACAGACCAGTACTGGTCCACTCCTGTGGGTGGGGGACTCCTGAGTTAAAGGAAAGGCCCCTGAAGAACCCGGCCCCCATAATCCTGTACCTGTCTAAGCAGTCTCTCTCCCACAGATGGCAGCTCAGATCCGCGAGGTGGAGCAGAGCCGGCAGGAGATGGTTCGGTCTGTCTTAGAGGTTGGTTTCCCTCGGAGGATCCAGACCAGTATCCAAATCCACTGATCCCTGGCATTTCCAGCTCCAGCATTGCATGAACCACTGCTTTTGTTTTTTGTGGTTTTTTTTTTTTGAGATGGAGGTGCGCACTGTCGCCCAGGCTGGAGTGCAGTGGCATGATCTCGGCTCACTGCAACCTCTGGCTCCCAGGTTCAAATGATTCTCCTGCCTCAGCCTCCTGAGTAGCTGGGATTACAGGTGCCTGCCACCACACCAGGCTAATTTTTGTATTTTTAATAGAGATGGAGTTTCATCATGTTGGCCAGGCTGGTCTTAAACTTCTGACCTCAGGTGATCCACCCACCTTGGCCTCCCAAAGTGCTGGGATTACAGGCGTGAGCGACTGCGCCCAGCCATGAAGCAGTGCTTCTAAGAGAACTCTGACTACATTCTTATCTGTTCGGCTTGAATTCCTTTACCTGTGTGCAGGCCTAGTTAGTGAATATGTGGACGGGCTGGGAGGGAGGGAAAGTGGGAGGGGAGGAACGGTAGGAGGGAGGGGAAGAGTCTGTAAGATGGGCTGTACCCTCCATATGCCAATTTGTTTCCTTCCTGTGATACTGGGGTCTGGAGGGTGGAGGCATGGCCTAGGCAGGCTCTTAAGCATCCCAGACACATTTATTTTTCCTGAATCAAACTCAGCCTCAGGCAGTACCAGACCCAGAAGAGGGCTCTTCAGCACCTAGAAGCTGGAAAGGGATGAACAGGTAAGACTGTTAGGGTATCCCTTGTTGGGAATTTGACATCTAGAACATTCTGCAACCTTTTGGCCGGGAATTGGAAACAGATCTAATCTTTACCACCCTCATGGTTCAAGGACCTCATCTGGCAGCCTGGCTCATGTTTTTCAGCCAAGTAGCTTCCAGCTCACAGCAGCCCTCAAACTTGGACCTGCCACCAGCTCCAGAGCTTGACTGGATGGAGACAGGACAATCTCTGACATTCATTGGGCATCAGGTACAAAGGATAAGCAAGCCAGAAGAGGGCCCATGCTCTCTCAGGTCTCAGGACCCCTCTCTCCTGATTTTTCTAACTATTCTAGACACTGCTGTCTCCACTGCAGGCTTTTCCTTCTTACTTCACTGTTCCCTAGTAGTGTTCTCAAACCTCTTCTCATCCTCCAAAGTGATCTTATCTACATGTATTGCCACTTAAGAGTGCCAACTCCCAAATCTTGCCCTCTGTCGAACTCATAGTTCCAACTCAACACAGGACATTTATTTTATATATATATATATATATATCTTTTTTTTTTTTTGAGATGGAGTCTCACTCTGTCCCCCAGACTGGAGTGCAGTGGCGTAATCTCTGCTCACCACAACCTCCGCCTCCCGGGTTCAAGTGATTCTCCTGCCTCAGCCTCCTGATTACAGGCACATGCCACTACACCCAGCTAATTTTTGTATTTTTAGTAGAGACAGGGTTTTCACCACGTTGGTCAGGCTAATCTGGAATTCCTGACACCGTGATCCGCCTGCCTCTGTCTCCGAAAGTGCGGGATTACAGGAGTGAGCCACCACACCCAGCCAGGACATTTATATTTAAATATCCCACCGGCAACTCAAACTAACCCCCAGCACTCCTGTATTTCCCATCACTAGATGCAGATCCTTTCCTTCTTTTCCATCTCCCATATCCTGTTAACAAGTAGTTTTAACCTGTCTGCCTCTATTCAGCCTTTGGACAATTTCTACTCCACCTCAATCCTGCCTCACAAACAGAAAATCATTGTACCACCTATGATCTTACTCTACACTTCAGCTGTATTGTGTTGCTTCAGGCTTTTACACAGTTGCCACTGCCTAAAACATGCTTTTCCTTCTCTCATCATCTAAAGTTTACCTTTCTTTAGCTGTTAGCTCAAACTCACTTTTTCATAAAAGGCGTATCTGAACACATTCTCTCTGGGATGTGGCACCACGTAAAGTTGCAAATGTCGTTTACATAACTTGTGCCTAATGCTCTTCCCCAATTACATGTATGCTGTGAGGGCAAGGTTTTGCTCACATGACATGTAATAGCCACTCTACTTCCAGACATCTCTGCTTTATGACTGTGAGCTTCCTGTGTCTTGGAGTCACTGACTGTACTTTCAAAGTTTAACATCAGCTGGGGTGCAGAATTAGCACTGTGGCAGCAGTCATATCCATCTCTTTTAAAGTGTGCTTTGTCTGTCTTTTCTAGGATTTTTTTTTTTAGTCATGCCTAGACTTTACTGTAACTAGCATTTTTTCTCCATTTCCAACTACAGGATATACCAGGAGTTGGTAACATCCACTCAGGTAAGGTCCAGGGCAGTGTTTCTAAAACCCTGGGAGATAAAATTTTTTTTAAATAAAGTTGACCAAGATATAGCATATATATCTGGTAAAAGACTTACATCCAAAATATAGGAAGAACTGTCAACTTGATAAGAAAACCCAGTAAAAGTATATGAATAGCTGTTCATCATTAGTCATTAGGGAAATGCAAATTAAAACCACAGTGAAATACCACTACGTATGCATGATGAACGGCAGAAATTAAGACTGATCATGCCAAGTATTTGGCAATGTAGAAAAACCAAACCCTTGGCCAGGCAGTGGCTCACGCCTGTAATCCCAGCACTTTGGGAGACCGAGGTGGGCGGATCACAAGGTCAGGAGTTCAAGACCATCCTGGCCAATGTGGCAAAACTCTGTCTCTACTAAAAATACAAAAATTAGCCGGGCATGGTGGTGGGTGCTGTAGTCCCAGCTACCCAGGAGGCTGAGGCAGAATGCTTTAACCCAGGAGGCAGAGGTCGCAGTAAGCAGAGATTGTGCCAGTGCACTCCAGTCTGGGTGACAGACTCCAACTCAAAAGAAAAAAAAAGAAAAACCAAAGCCTCATACACTGCTGGTTACAACGTAAACTGGTACAGTCACTTTGGAAAACAGTTCTGGATACACCTACCATATCCCAACCATTCCACTTCTATCTATTTACCTAAGAGAAAAGAAAGTCTGTCTACACAGACTTGTACACAAATCTTCAGAACAGCTTTATCTGTAGCAGCTCCATATTGCAAACAATTTAAATGTCTATCAGCAGGTAAATGGATTAACAATGGAATAGTATTCCAGAATGAAGACAGAATTATTGATACACGTAACACAGATGAATCTCAAAAGGCCAGAGCCCCCCTCAACATCCACACATCATAGAAAATCCTGAAGAATACAAACCAATAAAGCAACTGAAAGATCACTGATTTCCTGGTCAAGAAAATATTGTAATGGAGCAGTGATACTTGGAGGGGGATGTTTGGGGTCTTGATTGTGATGGCTTCACTCAAGTTATCAAATTTAAATATGTATCATTTATGTCAATTACACCTTAAAGCCATTTTATTTATTTTTTTTTTTTGAGACGGAGTTTCGCTCTTGTTACCCAGGCTGGAGTGCAATGGCGCGATCTCGGCTCACCGCAACCTCCGCCTCCTGGGTTCAGGCAGTTCTCCTGCCTCAGCCTCCTGAGTCGCTGGGATTACAGGCATGTGCCACCATGCCCAGCTAATTTTTTGTATTTTTAGCAGAGACGGAGTTTCACCATGTTGACCAGGGTGGTCTCGATCTCTTGACCTCGTGATCCACCCGCCTCGGCCTCCCAAAGTGCTGGGATTACAGGCTTGAGCCACCGCGCCCGGCCCAAAGCCATTTTAAAATGAGCATCACATTTAAGGTTGTTGCTTTAAATTGGCGTAGGGCCTTCTTCCTAATCTCCAAAATTCCTGGGTTTTGCTTTTAAACATTAGCTATTAGGAGATGAGCTATCAGCTAGGGTATGTTTCACAATAATAGCCTGAAGGCTTTAGAAAAAAATGTCTTCTTTTCCAGGTGCCACACCTCCCTGGATGATCCAAGATGAATATACCTCTGGGAACCAACAAATAGGACCATCCTATGAAGAATTTCTTAAAGAAAGTTAGTGAACTAATTCAGGAAAGAGAGAGGGTCCTCTCAATCTTCACACTCAAAAATGGTTTCCTTAGCTGGGTGTTGATGGCTCATAGCTGTAATCCTAGCATTCTGGGAGGCTGAGGTGGGAGGATCAGTTGAGCCCGAGTTTAAAGCAGCCTGGACAGCATGTCTTTATATTCTTTAACAAAGAAAATTAAAGAACAAACCGTTTCTTTATCATTGCACAGAGGAAAAACAGAAGTTGAAGAAGCTCCCCCCAGACCGAGTGGGGGCCAACTTTGATCACAGCTCCAGGACCAGTGCAGGCTGGCTGCCCTCTTTTGGCCGTGTCTGGAATAATGGACGCCGCTGGCAGTCCAGGTATATGTTCAATGCCAGGTCTCCAACCTACCCACCCAAACCTCCTTTTTGGAGATGTCACCCTTCTTCCTGTTAACCCTTTATTTCCTTTCAGGCATCAATTCAAAAATGAAGCTGCAGCAATGAAGCAGTCACATAGAGAAAAAAGCTAATCATGCTCTACCCAATTACCATGAGGCTAAAAGCAACGTCAACAAACCCCTACTATCGTACCTTCCACCAAATTATTTGTCTTTCTTGATAGAGGAAACAGACATACTCGTTTATTTGATTTAATAAAGTTTTATTTTTCCAAATGTACAGTTGGTTGGACCTGTTAAAAAAAAAAATGGAAAGAATCAGAACCATAAAGCTTTGTAAAGGAGGAATCTACCTCCTATACCATGAGCCCAAGCGTTCCCTACTCACCTATTCATGCGTCTTCACCAGCAGCTGGAGCATCTCCACCCTTGGTATTTCTGGTGTAAATTACTTGAGCTCTGTGCTTTGAAACCAGTTTGATAAGTCCTAGGGAGAGAGGATAGTAAGATGAGATTTTTTTTTTTTTTTAAATAAAGACGGGGTTTCACCATGCTGGTCAGGCTGGTCTTGAACTCCTGACCTCAGGTGATCCGCCCGCCTTGGCCTCCAAAGTGCTTGGATTACAGGCATGAGCCACCATGCCCAGCCTCAAGATGAGATACTTAATAGACACTGTAATAGACACTAGTAAGGTTTTTGGCTGGGCACCATGGATCATGCTTATAATTCCATCAGTTTGGGAGGTGGAGGCAGGGAGACAGCTTGAGGTCAGGAGTTACAGACCAGCCTGGCCAACATGGTAAAACCCTGTTTCTACCAAAAATAAAAAAATTAGCTGAGCATGGTGGCACGTGCCTGTAATCCCAGCTACTTGGGGAGGCTGAGGTATGAGGACCACTTGAAGCCAAGGAGAAGGTGGTTGCAATGAACCAAGATTGCCCCTCATACTCTAACCTGGGTGACAGAGTGAGAGACTGTCTCAAAAAAAAAGAAAAAGAAACTAGTACGGTTGTTTTGGCCAGGTGCAGTGGCTCATGCGTAATCCCAGCACTTTGGGCAAGTGGATCTCTTGAGCCCAGGAGATCCTAGGCAACATGGCAAAACCACATCTCTATTTAAAAACAAAACCAAACATAATTTAAAAAAAAGACAGGGTTCTCTCAAAGGTGCCCCGCCTGGTCTCAAACTCCTTGGCTCAAATGATCCTCCTGCCTTGGCTTCCCAAGTAGCTGGAAATAGAAGGGTACCACTACACCTGGCTCCAGAACTGCTTAATCTGACATCTGGTAACAGCTAGAGAATCCTACAATTTTTGACAATCATCTATCTCTTTATCTTTACTTCTCCTTTAAATTAAGGGCCCATCATCTTTTTTTGTGGGGACAGTCTCACCCTGTCACAAAAGCTGGGGTGCAGTGGTGTGATCTTGGTTCACTGCCACCTCCATCTCCTGGGTTCAAGGAACCCCTGTGCCTCAGCATCCTGAGTAGCTGTAATTATAGGCAAGCACCACCACACCCAGCTAATTTTTGTATTTTCAGTAAAGACAGATTTTCACCTTGTTGGCCAGGCTGATCTCAAACTCCTGACCTTGGGTAATTCACCTGCCTCGGCCTCCCAAAGTGCTAAGATTACAGCTGTTCAATCACCATAGTTAGCTGAGCCTTAATGTTGTGAAATTATGGTAATTAGAGCATATTATTGAGTAGACCATACTAACTTTCTGAATTTAAAATACATCAATAAAATATTTACCATAACAGTTTTAAACATTTTTAAAATTATTTCAACAAATAAAATTCTTTCAAAGTGTTGCCCCTGTAATTCTACACATCCATTTACTTGAAACATAAAAGATCCTATGCCCTAAGTGCATGCATGCAAAAAAAAAAAAAAAATCCTTGGGCTTCACTAAACTGTCACAGGGTCTACGGCACGAAAGTGTCTAAGAACCCAGCTAAGAATTCATCTCAGGAGTAAGTACAACACCGATCCCGGCTAATTTTTGTAGTTTTCTTTAGCAGAGAGGGAGGTTTCACCATCTTGGCTAGGCTGATCTTGAACTCCTGACCTTGTGACCCACCTGCCTCAGCCTCTCAAATTACTGGGATTACAACGTGACCGGTCACCTTTTTTCTTAATTCTGCTTTTCCAGTAAAAATCACTGAAGATGGTTGACATAGTCAAGACAATTATGTGTGTTTCTGAAAGACGAATTTGCTCTGTCACGCAGGCTGCACTAGAGTGGCCAATCTTGGCTCACTGTAACCTCCGCCTCTCGGGCTAAAGCGATTCTCCTGCTTCAGTTTCCCAACTGGCTGGGACTACAGGTGTGCGCCACCACACCCAGCTAATTTTTGTGTTTTTAGTAGAGACGGGATTTCACTATAGGCTGGCCAGGCTGGTCTCAAACTCCTGACCTCCCAAAGTGCTGGGATTACAGGCGTTAACCAGTGTGCCCAGCCGGTCAAGATAATTTAACCCACAAAAACACACATGTAGGATACACCCCTCACCTTTGCTAAGGAGCTCCTGAAGGGCTGCCCTGGCAAGGGAGCCTCGAATCTTCAGTCTCTCAGAGACCACAGCTGGAGTTATAAGCTTATAGTTGGGCACTTCCTTACAGAGTTTGTCATAGGTAGCTTTGTCAAACAAGACCAAGTTATTGAGCTTGTCCCGAACTTTGCCTTTGGACCACTTCTGCTCACCAAGACAAAACAGAAACAAGTTAGTATTTATGGCAGAGGCACCCTTTCCCTCTCGAGTAACTCATCTGTGTCAGAAATATCTGTCCCACCGTAATCAAAGATAGATTACACATTACTAAAAAAGAAAAAAAAAAAAACAACAACACGTTTTTGGGCTTCAGAACATGCGGCGAGCCCCACTAGATCAGTTAAAAACAACACGGCAGGCACTGGAGCAGACACTTTACACATTGGTCTCATGATCCTAATGGAAATGAGGAAAAAGAACGAGTCACGGTGATGGGAGAATAAACTCAAATTTTGACTCTAAAATCCACACCTGAAAAACCACTTGCTATACAAGTTGCCTATTACTAGAGGGCTACAGGAAGGCACCCCTACGT